TACCTGTCAATGTACTTTGAATACCGGAAAACAGTCCACGTGTAGTGTAAAGTATTTAATTAAAGAAATTCTTAGTGATGCAATAATCAAGTGAATAATATTTTGTATTTGTATTAATTCAGTTCATATTCTTTTTTTAATGATCGGCAATTCAACTTAAGAAGAAAACCATTGGACTTGTGTTTGTGATCTAAAAAAAAACCATTGTACTTATTATTATGTAAACTTAAAAAGAATATCATTGTACTTATGTAAATTTAAAAAGAATACCATTGCACTCTAGAAGTTATTTCGACGTAAAAAAAATACCATTGCACTTTAAAGGTTATGTCGACTTAAAAAGAATACCATTGCACTCTAGAGGTTATGTCGACTTAAAAAAAATACCATTGCACTTTAAAGGTTATGTCGACTGAAAAAGTATACCATTGCACACTTGAGGTTACTTGAGATTAGGACGTTCCGTGTCAAACTTTTTTTTACCTATCCTATCATCCAAGCTATTTAATTTTGCTTTAATGAAATCAACCATTACATRTCATTATTAATTATTGTAAATTTAATTATGRAACAAACTTATGTGTTTTKTYGTTTAAGGAATTTTGTATAATGCWTGAACATTTTACTAGAAATATTTTAGTAGAGAATTGAATTTATTATAAACATACATTTTAGCATATTAAATAATTTGTGAAATTGTAAGTGTAACATTGTTGGTACACGTGGTCTTAAGAARAAGATTAACGTGTATCATCTGTGATACGCATTAAATGGAACGTGTTAAAGAKAATACCATTGCATTTGAGGTTATATAAACTGAAATAGAAAATCATTGCAGTAGTGGTTATTTGAGATTAAGACGAACACCATTGCAATTGTGGTTATGTCATTTTTAAAAGAAAACCATTGCACTTGAAAGGTTGTGKCAATTGAAAGAAAACACGATAACTTTTTATGGTTGTTATGTAAACTTGAAAAAAAAAACCATTGCAATTGTGTTCATGTAAGGTTAAAGAGAATACCATTG